CATGTGCAGTGGGAGCATCAACATAAACAGAAGGAATACCTTTCTTTTATTTCCTCATTCCTAACAGAAAATTGCATGGATACATAAAAAGCAAATATAACTATTTACTTTTACTATTTTGTCTCTAGCAGATGGGCTTCTGCTTGTGTTTTTGTATTCTGTTTAATCATTTCCAATTCATGGTTTACTGGCATAGCACTCCTCAGTACAGCACCAAATGCTTTATTATGTCCTCTTCTGCTTGATCCCCCCTAACCCTCTGCCTTTTGCCACATAGACCCTGAGCTTTGTTATTTTTCCATTCTTTTCTGGCAAGAGCATATCATTTTCCTTTCACAAACTAGAGGAAAGTTACACAGTTTCTAAGAACACTGGAAATTACTCTTCTCTGTCTCACTATTTACACTTTAATGGAAGAGATACTATCACATACAGAATTATCACAAAGTTTGGGTATATACCATTTCTGTGCTGTGTGTCACTCAAATACACATCACCCTGTAATTACGATCCCTGGTGTTCACTCACTGGAAGTGAGCCCCTTTTCCAATTTGTGTTCTAAGATTGTCAGTCTTTCATTCTGTAAATACCCTTACACCTTCCAAAGTGCTCAGGCACGGCTCACATTTAAAGAATTATCACTCGCCTCTTCCAGTGCCAGAACCTGTTTCCCTGCTTGCTGTGATGCTGACTGCTACAGGAGTCCAGCAGTTTCCTCAGCTCAGGAGTTCCTTTGAGTATTTTGAAAACTTTCAGAAGCAAATTAGTGTACTTATCAGCTATATGGTCTCAAATCAGATGGCTGAAGTGACCACAGAGCACAGACTGTATGATAATTGTGTCATTCACCAAGAGTGGTGAAAAAAGATTTTCCTGGTTTACTCATGCTAATACCAATTGATTTTTTTTTCTTTTTTTTTCATTGCCAAACAGTTGAGGGAGGGGATTGTCCCACTCTGCTCTGTGCTGGTGCAGCCTCAGCTCAGGCACTGTGTGAACTTTTGGGCACCACAATACAAGGAATATATTAAATTGTTAGAGAGCATCCAAAGAAGGGCAACAGAGATGGGGAACAGTCTAGAGGGGAATAGGGAACCTATTGCTCATAGCAACCTACTGCTTCATCATGAGGGGAAGAGTAGGGACATGTGCTGATCTCCTCTCTGGTGATCAGCCATAGAACCCAAGGGAATGGCATGAACGATTACACTGGATATAAGGAAAAGGTGGAACAGGCTCCCCAGGGAAGTGGTCACAGCACCAGCCTGACAGAGTTCAAGACAAGTTGGACAACACTCTCAGGCACATGGTGTGACTCTTGGGGCTGTCCTGTGCAGGGCCCAGAGTTGAACTTAATGATTCTCCTGGGGCCTTTCTGACTCAGGATAGTCTATGATTCTCTGATTACTTTAATAATAAAGGCAGAGGGGAAGCAAGCCTAAAAACATAAAACATTGCATTTTTGTTGCTCCTTGGTGCTGAAAGTCCCAGCTGGTGATGAGCAAAGTGGTCTGCAGGCTGGCACTGGCTCTCATGCATGTGGCAAGGGGCAATGTGGGTCAACCAACCTTAGGACCTAGGGAACTGATTCTGTGACTTTTAAATCTATGTATGATCTGTCACTGTAGCTATGTAATAATTATTTTCTTATTTCTTGTATCATCTGTTGATCTAAGAAACATTAGAGCTGGACTCAAAGGTTTAGAAATGCTGTAACACTGACATTTTGAACTATTGTTTTTTTTTCTGTAACACTTTTGCAGTATACTTGTAATACTGTAACATTATTTTATGTTCTATGGCAGAAATTCAAGAATTAACATGAAGAGAGCTATCTTAGGCAAGTCCACTCTTTTCCAGAAATAAACAGAGGAAAAGATGAGCACAGAGGTTGTTCTATAAACCATTTACAATTGTCTACAACATCAGCATTGGGTTTCAAAATTAGGTATGTGATCTTTAAAGACAGTACTTTACATCACAGCATTAGAAGGGTGTCAGAAGTCAGACAAGTTCCACAGGGCAGAGCAAAAAAAATATGAGTTCTTCAGAATGGGGAACAATGACATAGAAAAAAAATTTATCTATTTTGGGAAAGAAAAAGGGAACATCTTGAAACAGTACTCGGGTCAGAACTCCTACAGAAATGCTATATACCATTTGTCCCTAGGGGAGTAAACCCAGAGCTGGATTCACAACAGCTATTGTTCTAGACCTTGAAAGCAAGATGAGAATAAGGCAAGGTGGCTTGTCTGAGTAAAACTTTAAATGATAGACATCTTCACCGTGATGAGGAATGATAGATGTAGTTGAGTGCACAGCTGACTACTTGCCACCATCTACCATGACACCTTGTTTTAGTAATGATAGAGACATATGCTTAGAGAGAAAGCACAGCTCTAGCACATATACCTGGATGAAGATGTAAAACACTGACATTCAGCCTTCTGTGATCTGATTCATTGACCTCCACAGCAGTGACTGCAGAGCAGAGGTTAATGCTAAAATATAGGCTAGCTGGAGCAGTTATTGTTTAATTTAAGCAAAAGGAAGGCTGCAGTGCTATATCTCTATAAAGCTATTTGAGCATGTCTGCATCAGATTACAAAATTAACTGCATTCAATCATTTTCTAATCTTTGTTTACTGTTGTGGAGAAAGGGTTTATGAGATTCAGTTTGTTGGCTTTTACAAATACAGTCTGACAAGGTGACTTACCTTCTGAAGAAGCTCTTTATTCTCATTTCTTTTTAGGTAACTAGAGAAGAAAAGCTGTCCAGAAACTGTCATAAAAAAGTACATACTTCTGAGCACCTAATTAGAAGTTTTCTTTGCTACTTTGAACAGGCTTTGGCTCTATTTTGTACAGTTTCATATTCCTTCATTATCTTCCCTTAGAATGCCTCTGGCTGCATCCCTAATGCTTCCAGGCTCTGGAGAAAGACTCAGCTTTTGTCCAGAGGATCCATGTTCCCCAAGGAACATGACTTCCACCATTCTGGTCAGAACACCTCCTTGTGCCCTGCAGTGATTTGAGGCTGCCAGCACATATTCCATACCCCCTCCATGCGGTGTGCTTTCATAGAGTCACAGATAGCACTTCTCTGGAAAAGCATGGCAGCACAGGCACATATTGGGACCAACGAGGTTTTACCAACATCACCAGCAGAGTGCCCTTTCACACAATAGAGAAATAAATTTGGAGTAACAGCCTGCCTATCCCTGTGTCACCCCATGGTGACAACCAAAGCAATACAAGTGGTTTGTAGCAGAGCAGCACCAGTGCTGATCCTTTGGCTTGTTCAGGAAACACTCCTTTCCACACACATCTGAGAACTTGATCTAACACCCCTCAGCCCAGCACTGAATCTGGCTTGCAAACTATGTGTCTCTTGTACAGTAGATTTCTCTGGGACAGAAGGCTGGCATGGGAGTCTTCTTTTGAGGAACTGTCCCAGGCAGAAAGGAGAAGGCTTGGCACCATCTTCCTGCTAAGAATAGCTGCTTATTTCACTAACATCCTTGTATGTCAGCTGGGCAATTGATATCAGGTCTGTCAGGGATACTCTCCATAGCAAAGGTTACTAGAACAAGGTACTTGCTGTCAGATGGATTTTATTTCTTCTAGAGACTCCACATCCCTGAAGTGCTTTTGCAATGGGGAATTTACCATTGGAACCTCTGCAGAGGGGTCTCTTGACACTGTTAAGACTCTCACAATGCCTTCAGGATTTGGCATTCTAAGTCCAGCAGGAAACCAGACATTTCAAGTATTTTGGGGACCTGAGAACTTGTCCTTTCCAGTGCTTTTAGTGACTTTGAGCTAACTGTGAGCTATTTTGACCATGGAGTATTGTTTTCTGAGGCCTGGCTGCAAGAGCTTCTTCTTTACAAGGAGCTATTGTGAGGGAGGAAAGCAAAGGCATTGTGTCCTCGATGGTAATAATGAACTAAGTCTCTTCCTCATTATCCACAGATGGAAAGCGAACTATCTTGTTCTGTGTGCTTTGACTTTTTAAAGGCCTGATTGGTCAGAAAGATCACTAATATGAAGTGGCTCCAATTTCAGTGTGAAGGAGAAGTATGTTGAATGCCCAGTTGCTGCCCATGTCCAGCAGCTGCAGTGTCCTATGCCAGCAGGGCCATTTGCAGGATGATCAAGCTTCCATGCAGCCAGAACTGTGTGGTAATGATGCTGCTTTCTGGGTGTGCCACAGGGACAGGACCTCACACCAGTAACCTCATACTGACAGAAGGCAGCAGCAATCCCACAGTCATGATTTAACACATGCTGGATACATGCAGTTCAGGAAACCAATCTTTTTTTTTTAACAGTGTTTCTTTTAAGTGGAATTATGATGCACCTACTGTAAATGTATTGGTTTGAAAACATGTAATGTTTACCTGAGAGGCTGCAGTATGCTAAGCCCTGCATAATAGATGAGGAAAAGCTTTCCATTTCTCTCTATCTGAAGTAGATGCGCTGTACAGAGCAGGCATAAAATATACAGGAACAATGTCATGCTGGAAGTATTTTATCTTGTTTTTTTCTTTACTATCTCCAATATACACAACCATATATATACATGAACCCACGCAATAAACAGCTGTCCAGAGCACACTTGCTTCCTGACAATCTCATCTAAGCTTTCTTTACTAATCTGCAGCTCTTCCCAATGATTTCTGATGTATCTAGTGCAAATTATTTAAAACTTATTCTGTATAGAACTATTATTGTTTTTACTAATGTATTCATAACTAGATTGTTTAGACCTGCTTGGAATGGACACGGTGCTCAGGTTTGGAAGTTATGCCATGCTTATGTCTTAGTAGATTCTATGAATTAATGCTATGAAGTCAGATTTAGCAGTGTCAATGATTTTGCCCTTTGACTCCTCATATTAAACTCTACCTGAAATACCTACCCTTCCTTGTAGGATGATGTAGACATTCCCTACTCAGCTTGTAAACATTCCAACATTTCTGTTTCTTTTTTCTTAGCAATATAGATCCTGTTGTCCCATTGTTACAAGGTTTCTGACTCCTCGACTCTCTTGCCTGAAAATACAATCAAACGAGGTTTACAAAACAACAGGACCATATTTCTGGTTTCCACAGAGCAGCCAGTGAGGAAGTATGGAACAGCATCTTTTGTTGAAATGACACCCTGGACACATGCCAGATTTTTAAGGAGTTACATTTGAGGATTTGCTATCCAAATTTTGAGACATTCTAGAAGACCATTTCCCTGCGGTATTAGTGTGATGATTATTACATCATTCAATTAGAAAATAATGGTGTAAGAACAAAAATCTGTTCCCTTTTCAGTTTCCAAGGTCTTTAAAAAGAAAAAAAGAGATTTTAAGTGCTAGCAGCATAACTTTGCTGAACTCAGCATTTCACTTCAAAGGTATTAGTTTGTCTCTCTTCAAAGGTTCCAGTTTGCCTCTGTAGTTTTACGTGAAAATGTTATATTACAGCTTCTTCCTGAAAGGTAAAGATATCAAAATGCTCCTGTATAGTTTTTATGCTATTGCAACTATATACGGAAATAGCTGTTAATGATATTGATATAAGAAATGAATAAATAAAATGAAATCATAAATAAAAAGCAAAACTGAACTGTTTCCATAAATTAAATATGCATTACCAGGGATTTAAGTAATACAGAATTTCATTGCTTCTTGAATCTTACAGTATATTGAAAATTGCTAATGGTTCCCCCTTACTGAAACTGCCAGCTTTATTAAATAAATAATTGTTTTTGTTTAATCTTGAAGAAAGAACAATTTAAATAATATAAGTATCTGCAAACAGTGAAGGCCATCAGTAGAGTATTGGACAAGGTGGCACACGGGAATTAACAGTCCTGTACCAGGAGCAGACACAACTGCAGGTAGGGGAATGAGGAGGCTCAACAGCGACCAGGGGAACTGGGGGGCAGCACCTCCTTGAGTTTACACCTCAGTGATGTGCAGCTGGAGCAAGGAAAGAGCCTACTTATCTTGTTCCTGCAGTTTGAGGAAGAGGCATTTGGCATGCTTATTTTTCTTCGTAAAAGAATATGTTTGCACCAAGAACATATCTTACTTCTAGCAGCAAACTGTCCTTCAAACAAAACAGTTCTGCAAGGTCTGAAAATTTGACTCACTGTTTAAGCAACAGTGTGAAAAAACCCAAACTGGGTTTTCTGTCTTGCCTTATGTAGTTGAACATAAAAGTCTAAGGGTTTGTATCACAGCTGGCCTGGGGCGCAGTCCTTAAGCTCAGTGGAGGCCTTAACATACCCTCCCCTGCAACAGACTATGTTTGTATTTCATACGTGTCATTCTGAGAACAATCTTGTAATGGAAGAAAACCAGCACTATTTGTTCACCCAGCAGAATATGAGTACTTTAATCTCTGATGAAAAATTAATGTGACCAATAAATAGTAAGCACATACCAAATTTTTCTTTCACCTTTCATTTGTCTTGTACTACTTCAGCCTGTATCAGCTCCCTTTACCAGCTCAGCAAGAGAAGCAAAATAAATGAAATATAAGTAATGGATCAAAGACAAGACATAATCCTTATCTATTAGAACCAAAGAAAAGAAGCTGTTAGACATTTCCACAAGCCTATGGATTCTGCTATATATGAGGGATTAATGAGCTCTCACCTGCCACAGAGGTTAAAGGGATTCAGTTGGCCATGGAATCTGGTAGGCACAATGCATTATAGAATCCCCTTCAGGAGGTTGATTTCTAAAATTTACATTAAATCAGTTTCTTTTGCTCTTTTGATTCTGTGTAACCATTCTGTAACCTTGCTCCTCATGGGTTTAGCACCTTTTACTTTCAGGTTAAATTTACTTTCTAAGTTTGAGCACTTTTGGTATTATGCAAGCGTTGTCCCTTAGCCTATCATCTTTTCCTTCTCGAAGTATTTTTAAACAGCAGCAGGTTCCCTCCATCGAGCCCTTGTTTTGCTGGATGAAACAAACCACACTCTCCTAATCTTCCCTTTGGCAGCCCTTCTTTGCATCTGTTTTAGTCTGAATATATCTTTCTCTAATAGCACTGACCAAAACTATAATTATAGTCAACTGTGGCTGCCTGCAGCTTGTGCAATAGAATCAGTATCTTCATTTCACTGCTGGAATGGACACTGACAGGAAGTATCTTAACGTGGTCACATTTGGACACTTAAAAGTTTTATTTTCCTTCCTTTGTTAATGAAAGCTCCTTCAATTAACATCTCCCTGTGCACAGATAATTAGAAGCTAAGAGGTGACCTAAGAGGGCATCTAAGAAAACCTAAGAGTCTTTTCTCTTTCTGACTTTGCATAAAAGGAGATTATTTTATGCCTATTCCTTTTCATATCCTAGTCTGCACTCTTTCTTTCTGCCTTTCAAAATCAAAGGCATTTTGTCACTTTTGCAAATTTGGTATTTTCCCTTTCCCAACTAAAGCCTAAACTCATCACAGAACCATAGAAAGGCTTGGGTTAGAAGAGACCTTAAAGATCATCTTTAAGATCATCCCTATTGCTGTGGGCAGGGACACCAATAGTTCCTGATTTTATTTCCAGGATACAGGCACATTTAAAAATGGTAACAATCATCTGGTCGGACAAACCTTGCAGTCGTCTCTGAATGCACAAGTTACCTAGAATGCTTATCTACTTACGCTCTTCTTGTGATTATTCTAAATTCAAAACTCACACTCATGTAATTTTTTCAGGTTTGCTCACGTTTTCCTGTCTGGGGAATTCTCTGGTGCAGTGATACAGTTATTTTAGCAGCTGTGACTGCTGAGGCGATTTCAGTTTTTTAACTGAATAGCCCCACAGCATTCCCAGGGATACTTTTTCAAAGCAGGATTCCTTTAACATGATGTTCTGCAGTAGAGTATTCCTCTTCCCATTGTTAACATTTTTATTCTTCAGAGGCACTTTTTTTATGCTAGTCTCTTCTCAAATCCATGCTGCACTGAAATCATATTGTTCAAAATACTCATGATCCCTCCTAGATTCATCTGTGAAGAGAATTATCATGTTCTTCAGTCCATCACAAAGATCAGTTAAAACCTGCTTGTATTTGACCCAGTGCTAATTCCTCTGCTCCCTATCAATAAACCCCTTTAATTTAAAATTCTGTTTTCTAATTTAGCGAGATCTCATTCTACTACAGCTCTTATTCCATTTTCTGCTGTTAAAGTATCATGCAGCATTCCACAGCCAATGCCTCAAACTTCCTGAAAATAATTTTACTTTATACTGCAGGAACACATCCATAGTAGTTAGGATTTCTGAGAGATTGCTGGTTTTTTTTGAAGTAACTAAAAACTAATTACAGCTCAAGTGAAATACCTATTGCATCTCCACATTTCAAAATGGTTTACAGAGGAGAAAAAACTCATTAGTGCCTGATGACAGTGCAGCACTTGCAATACCGAGGATCAAGTTAATTTGAAGGCATTCAATACAAGCACCTTGTGAATTTATGTACACAGAGGCCTAAAACAGTCTGAATTAATTACTCTATAGCTCAACTAAATTCCATATATACTTTTAAAAGCCACACTTAAGAAAAATACTGTTATAGCAATAAAGAGGAGGGGAAAAAGAGGTGAATGAAGATATGAGAGCAGCTTCCAGCAAAAACAGTATTGTCACAAATCCAGCTTTTACCCTATATTTGAAATAAAATGCTCAGAACATGAGGTTTTATTTATATAAAAGAAATAAATGGAAACATTATCACTTTTGTTCACTAAAGGTACCTGTTTCCTTAGATAATACTTACCCCAAAAAACTGTGACTGGAAAATTATGAATTCAGGATAATGCTTTTGATATCTCATGGACGATGCTGTGGACTTTGCTCTTTGCCAGAGAAGTATGCAATGTGTGTTATTTCATGAGACTACTTGATATTGTTTGTTTTGACTTATGGTGCAACACGGTTTAACTCTGTACAAAGTAGCTCTATCAGAAAAATGTTGACATTTCTTTTGTATATGCTTAAATCATCTCACACCTATGGGAAAGATTTGATCTCATTACTCTTCTACTCAGTTCTTAATAATTGAAATGCAAAAGAGAGACTGGATTGTGATCATAAATCTCTGCCTTGTGTGGCAAACATAAGGGAGAGAACGTGGGATGAAAAGGATGAATATCTGAGTAAAATGACACAGGTCAAAATTAAAAATATATCAAATTAAATAAGAAAAAAAGAACATCCCAATCAAATGTTTTCTTTCACATTCTGAATACGACGTAGCACCTCCAAGAATCTCAGCTGTCTGCCTCATAATTCTTTCCAAACTGAAGCCTAATAACACTTTCAATATTTTAAAATAAGTACAGAAGGTGACTATCATAATAAATGTTATTTTTAGTAGATAATGCAATGGCAGGTGATTAGCTCCAAACAGCAAAGTGACAAATGCATTGATTTTGGTGAAACTGGATGCTTTAGCTACTGCATAGAGCTTACATTTTATCCAGTCAATATTCTCATGCACTGTAGCTGTCTACTGTAAGACAAACATTCCCCCAGGCACCTGGCAAACAATCTTATTAACAGGTACATGTCAACACGTGACAGCAGCTGTGTCCACCTCAAATTTCACTGCACTGTTTTGAAGAGCTCCCACGTACCTTCCTGTTGCTGAGAATGCTGTGTGAGACACTGGGTTGTCACAGCTCACGGCATCCCTCATGGCATATGCAGGAAGCACACCCAAAGGAACGGGCAATAGGACTGGACTATGTCCTAAAAGTTAACTTCACAGCCCTGACATAATTTCAGGAGAATGCATATATGAAAGTTGGAGGACAAAAGGAAATTTATATAATTTGATGCTGCAACTTCTAATTTTCTTCTTGACTGGAATTACACTTCAAGTCTGGCACCCAAAACTTAAGTTTCCATAAGAAACTTTCTCATTCATATGAACTATTTCAATATTTTCTTTCCTTTATCCTTTAACTGGAATAGCTGCTTAAGTGAAGTTTTGGGGCTTGGGATCACTTTCAAATAATGAGTTAATCAATCTGAAGTTATTACCATAAAAAAATAATCAGAAAGTTCTAAAAATACCAGTTAATGTTGATAATTTAATAGGCCATTTATAGTCATCCAAACATTTTACTCAATACTGTTATGTACAAAATCCACTAAAATAAAAAACAAATTTAAATGTTATCTTTCAGATGTAAAAGTGCAATTAACACAGGCAGAGTTTTTGCAAGAATATTACATTTCTATTAAATTCACTGCCTACATAAGAGCCTAACAGGTATACTGCCTACACTAAAGTGAATGAGGATTGTTTTTTAATTAACTTTGAATAAGCCTGGTAGTTGATAAATAAAGGTTTTCTGCCACAATCATAGCACATACATCCAAAAATGCATTGCACAATTGTTTCCATAATTTTCAGTTTTACCGACTTTAGAAATTAAGGTAGAGCAACAGTAAGGTTCATTAAGTTCCAAAAATAATTAACACCATAAAACCTTGTAATGAGTGTGCACAGAACAGCCATCCTGAATGGCTTTCCCCAGAATTCTGATAGCTTTCCAAAGATGTTATTTACCCTGAATCAACGTTCTTCCTTTACAGTACCAAATGGATTTTCTGAAACAAGATTTACATTTATCTTTCATGCATTACTTATTCACAATTTGGAAAGAAACGGCAAGCCTTCATACATGTCAGCCTTTAATTTCATCCAGTCCCGAAACCTCTGCAAAGCTGATTTTTCTTGTGTTAATATTTTTGCAGCTTTTTTCAGTTTTTCTTCATTTCGTTCTAAATAACGAATTCCATCCGTCTGCAGCTGATTGAGTTTCTCTTTACGGCTTTCATCCAGAGGTATGTCTTCATTCATAAGAGGGTTAAATCTGAAATAAGTATCTGGAGGCAACAGTGCATCGAGCATGGTGTGAACTTCTGTATTGAAAACAAATGAAGAAAACAGTTCAATTCACATGAGAGAGTTGAACAGTCCTGCAAGTGATCTGAACAAAAACTGCTCTGGAATGACACAGTAAGAGTAAATATGTGCTGCTTTGCTGAGTAAACATTTTTCCACCACTGCCTCATCAAAGCCCCTTTCTCATTAGGCGGTTTATAAATGACCCTGTAACTCTGTTTACTCTGGAAAAGACTCATCTTTTATTCCAAGACAACTTCACTGGTATGACAATTAAGTAAGCTATGTAGCTATCTAGATTTTTAATTACATTCCATTCCTTAACAAGTAAGAGCATATCCTGAAGAGCAGGAATGCAACTTCCATATTCCCATTTCAGGATACCTGTGATTTGTTACACTTGGTAGTAACAGAAGTACGTATAATGAAAACAACATGTATTTTCTTCTGCAATCTCAAAGTAAAAATATGTAGGACTAAAGCTTTATTTTGTTTACAACTATTAATAAATTTTTAATATATTACTACAGATTTGAGGTTTGAATTTAACATGCATTTAATTTGAAATATTCAAGTTAAATTATATTACTTCAGTTAACTAGTAAAATAAAAAAAAAACTATGTAATGCATTTATATGGTCTTTTTCATAACCTATTTCTTTCTCCCTTTAGATCTTTTTTTTGGCTCACTTAAGATTCCATTTCTATCACTTCCTTCAGCATTCATTCTATCTTCTTTGTATTCTTAATGTGTTCCTCCATTCTTTTAAATACCTCTTGTCATATATAAAAAGTTTGAAGTGAAAAAGATATCAGGTATAAGATAAAAGCAAACGATTCTTGTAAATCTGAAATAGTCTTGTCTTGGCCTCTCCTCCTGCAAATTACTCAGCTGTGTCTGTTCTTGTCTCGCCACATCCAGTCTTTCTTGCCCTATTTAATACCCTCCCTTTTTTCCTTTGTAAAACAAGTTCCCATTTGCACCAATCTACTCTCTTCTCTTTCCGTTTCTTTTCCTTTGGTCCCACAATGAACTTTCCTTTCTTTCTTTTCCCTTCAAATTTCCTGCCCCATTTTTCAGCTGCAATGAAACTTTTTGATAGAAAGTAGACAGCACATATCTCCTTCCCACAATTCCCACTGCCTTTCCACAGCTGTGCAAAAACCAAACAGCAATCAAAAATCTAGTTTTTTCCTACTAGTGACAGTCAGCTGACAGAGACTATACAGCAAGGGATCTAGACCATAAGACCATTTCTTGTTCCCTGGCTTTTTGCAGTATCACTTTCCTTTGTAATGGGAGGTGAAATTGTCTGTGTATCACTATTTCCTGTTTACAAAAATAAAACAGATGTAAACTGCTAGTGACAGAGTTCCAGTACACTTCCATCTAGGAACAGAATTTATTTTAGAAAACAGATGCTTGGTTTTTCCTGACAGCAATAGAAGTCATCAGCACTGGAAGATACAGTACAATCCTGGGAAAAGTAAAGGTATAAAAGTGTATTTACTGAAGCTGTTGAAAAGAAATGCTCTATATTAACTATTAGGCATTTCTGTGTTATGGGAAAAACAAATAAAATATAAGAAAATATTATTTTAAAATTAATTCCTGAATATGCCTTTTATCCTAAAGTTCAAGTAGAAATATTTATCCTCCAGAAAACCTGTAATACTGGTACTAAAACTATACACAGTAAGTTACAAAGAGACACACTTCAGTTTCATGGGGCTGGTAGAGAAGAGGAAAGAAAAAAGGTTGAAGATTGTTCTCTGAATTGGAACTATGATCTAAGAGCCATAAATAAAACTGAATACAGTCACAGTACAAGTGTATCTTAAGACACCAACCTTCTGTATCAGTTGCACTGTTGATAACATTCGTCAGTTTGGCTTTCAGACTGGTGTGTGTGACATTGGTCTTTACCTCGCTTTCATACCGGCCAGTGCCCAGTGAAATCAGGCACTGCAATGGAACATTGGGCCAGAGACACTTGCACTCATGAACTGCCAGCGCAGAAGGATTATTTAGGAGCAGACCTCCATCCTGTAAATTAACAAGAAATACAAATATTGGTACTAGACATAACATACGGTCACAAAAGAAACTGCAACTGTCAATTAAATTAGCACAGCCCTGGGCATATGAGGCTTCTTGAAGTTGTCTGGAGATCAGAATTCAGCCCAATACTACCAGGAACAAATGCTACTCTGGAACTGCGGAGAGACATTTTTCGCTAGCAACATCTTAAAAGTGTGATGAGGTTGGGATAAAATACTTCAAGACTAATAAGAATCAGTGTGAATGACAGTAAGCCTGAGAAGCATTCAGACAATGAGATTTGGATCCACTGAATCTCAAGAAGTACATTCAGCACTTCCTGAAAGTAAAATGACCTTCACTCCAACCAAGAAATAGATTAACTTGGACTTTGAATTGAACAGAGCTTTTTTTTTTTTTTCCTTGGAATGCCTTAAAACCAGCAGTTATAAAGGTAAAACTTAGGCACTTCCTGAAAGTAAAATGACCTTCACTCCAACCAAGAAATAGATTAACTTGGACTTTGAATTGAACAGAGCTTTTTTTTTTTTTCCTGGGAATGCCTTAAAATCAGCAGTTATAAAGGTAAAACTTAAGGTTGAGAACACTACCAATAGCAGAGATGAAGACAGCTGTATCCACTCAGAATCTATACAAACAAGTAAAATATAAAAGAAAGACAGTATTTACTATAATAGGTATAATGCAAGCACTCCCTACATTCTAAAGTTCCCTGAATTCGCTATATCCCATATCTGACCATCACATTACTAGAACAATAAGGAAAAGCAACTCTACCCAGGAATACCTTACAATAAAAAAGGTTTTAGAGAGGAGAAACATTTTACAGAAACTCCTTGTAACTACAGCTGTGCTAGAGCAGTAAAACCAGGATCACTGGTTTTTTTGAGTTTGCTTTCTTTTAATTAACTCTTCATTTCAACCTACAAAAAGCTCTTTGAACCCTTTCTGGATACCATCCGCCTTGCTCAAAACACTAAATACACTGCTAACATGAATGGTCTCTTCAGTTCCCATTAGCCTTTGCTCATGTTTAGTCTAGAAAACTAAATACAAGGACGTTTTTGTCCATTATATAATTCCCCATTAATCTTTATCTAAAATCTTAATAATTGTTAGAGTGAGGCTTAATTCTTTCTTTAAACCCTAGATTTAAAACATGCTTACAAAACAATTTCCACTGATACTGTCAATATAATTAAACATGCTACACCATGGGAAAATTAGTGTTATCAGTTGTTTGTGGGTATATTATACTAGAATATTACAATCTTTTTGTAATACTGACAAATAAAAGATCAAAGGAACATAAAATATACATACCAAATCTGTTTGTGATGATAATTAACAACTTTGTGCAATGATTTCTATATTTAAACATTCTCCAATTTAGGTTTATTGTAATAACAGTAAATTCCCAATGATTTTCAATTTAGACACAACTTCTAGCATTTATACAGGAAATAGACACATGTTAGTTTTTGAAAGTTAGAAGCAGGACTAAGAAAGGCAACTGACTTGTGTCTTCTCCTCCAAAGAGATTATGGATGATATTAATCACATCCTAATCAATACTTCAAATAATATTATCTGTTAAAAAAGTGATGTTCATTGCACTGCTTTTGCTTACAATGATCAACTACTAAAGGAGTAAATAATGCTATTAGTTAAACTGTACTATTAAGGACTCAGTGAAGGAAATACTAGAGTAATTTGTTTAAATCTGCAGCTCCAGAAATCATACAGATGATTATGTAAAAAGCTGAAATTCTTGTGAAAAACTATTTTCACCATTTTTTAAATTAGTTATGATTTCATTTATGTGCATTCAAAGAAAATGTAAACAACAAAGAATTTTCCATTCTGAACATTAAAGAACAGAAACTAACCCTTCTGATTCTGAGTAATTCCTCCAACTTCATAAAACTAGAAAAAGCCCATCCCAAGATGCCTACTGAACTAGCAATACAGAAATATGAAAGCTAGATATAAATATTTTTTAATTAATTTTAAGAAATCATGACATATCCTTCTCCATGCTTGCCCTTGAGATACAGCAACAGAATTCCCACATGATTGACTCTGGAGTTTTGTACAAAAGATACTGAGATCACAAGAAACTTCACTGATCCTTGTTTTGGAGAACTGCTAAATTTGCTGTCTTAATTTTTTTTCTCATGCTATTGAATTTATTCTATAGCTATAAAATACTATATAAACTCATCTAAATTATTTATAACTTACTAATTACAATATTTATGGTAAGCATTGGGCTTTTAAAATATATTTATAAAAGTACATTAACCAAAATGCAATAAACATAA